AAGTTCCATTTTAATATAGTTGTAATTTTTAATTTTATTTTTAATTTTTAAAAATTTTAAAATTTTAAAATAAAATTGAAAAGATCTATAAATTAATTAATAAATTTGAAAGTTAGGATATTAATTTTTAAATTTACACTTAATAAATTACCATTCTTTATTTTCTTTAATTTTCAATTAAGAACTTTATTTATTTAAATTTTAAAAACCAAAATTAAAAGGAAAATGTCTTCATAATCTAGTAATTATATTTTCCTTGTAAACAACTTTTCATATTAATATTAACAAATATGAGATTCAAGTTTCATTCTAATATTTAAAAAAAACACCAAAATTAAAGGAATAGGTAGTCTTAATTGATAAAGTATGAGATATATCCAAGAACTTCGAGAAATAGTGTGTTTTTGACAAAGTATCAATATTTTACTAATCCTATTAAATGAACATTTGAGTTTCGAAAAAGTCCCGTTCTGAGCCAGTGATATAGATTTTACGTTAACATCATTTACCTTTTATGAATGATACATTTAAATCTCATAGATTTTTTTCTTAATTAATATATATATATAATTTCAATCGGTTGAAAAAAGAGAAAAAAAAAACTTCTGAGTTCTGATTCCTTATCTCCCCAACCGCTTTGCACTCTGGTCTTGACACGTACCCGACACATCACCAATCTTTTTTCCTTAAAAAAAGAATCTTCAGATCCACGTAGTACCTTTTTTTTAAATTTATTTTAACTTAGAATTAATAAAAATTTATTAATTGATGTCCTTATTTTTCTTTTTGGTACATAATTGATGTCCTTATTACCAAAGATCTCTTAAAATTTTAAAAATACTAGTTTCCGAAAATATCCTCAAATAAAAAAACAAAGGAGGATCCAAAAAACGCAGCATGGTTGGCCGACTACCTGTCTGAAGTATTTGACGGGACGATAGAGACTTTAATAACTTCAGTGCATTATAGTTCCCAGGGCAATCTTGTGCAACTTAAGAAGTTAAGATCCGGGTGTTTTTATTATCGCATTTAATATTATG